CTTTGATGAGCAGATTATCCTTGTTTCCTATTAACTTTAATACATTTAATTCATGTTGCATGTGTCATCTTGATAGGGATTCCCTAGAATTGAACTTATACCTTGTCACCTACGGGATATGCAATGGGTAGCTTTGCTAGTGCTCAATTAAACCATGATCTTGTAACTTGACTAATGGTATATGCAATAAACATTAAAATATGACTTTTTAGCAACTTGGAAATAGGGGACTAGAGTGTTTAGCTACTTTTCTAAATGCTTCAGATTCCTCTCCCTAAGGACTTATCTATATGTGATCATTCGGGACTTACAGCACAACTATGAGGGCTACATGGCTCTGGCTTTAGCTCAATATGAGGACCTTTTCTAGCTTGTTAGAGGTTACCTTTATGGCGTAAGAGGGGTGTGTTTTGGGTTGGATATAGTGTGGCATCTGTCCGTCAGTGTATAGGTTGCGTGTCATTGTGCTTGTAGGAAGGGGAGCCCTACATTCGCAGGGTATAGAAACCTAGCGGCCCTAACTTGTTAGACGAATCTTTGAAAGGCTTCATAGTGACACTTGCCTGTTCACCTTGGAAGTATTTTAGGAGTTATAAGCCCGGGCATATGGATATCACGACTCACAGTAGTATACAACCTCTGCAGAGTGTAAAACTAGTATATTAGCCATGCTCACGATCACGAGCGGCCTTGGAACCCTTATGGAATAGATGATCACTAAGAATTATTGGTTTATACTATTCATTATTTATGTTTACGTTGATCATGTGCTTTACTTTGGGAATTGAACCAACTTGTTGCTATTCTTATGCTAAAATTGTGACAACTAAAAGCTGAATGCTATTGATAATTTGTCGGCTTATGTGCGTGACTGATCTCTGGGCGCACATAAGATTTTGCATCCAATTTTATCCTTAAAATCGGTTGTGACATGGAGGGAGTGGGGAAAACGTGCGCCTCCTGGATGGGTGTGCTCGGGATGGGAGAGAGGAGGGAGGAGAGGACACCAGCTTGTTGTACACAGTTTATCACTGTCAGAAGCCACAAACCTACAGTGATAGCACCACATCACACTGTCAGTTTCTGGCTAGAACCGGCAGTGATATGTCTCCATCCACTCACTGCCGGTTCCAGCCACAAACCGGTAGTGATATGGACTTTCACTGTCGGAAGTCACTGCTTATGGGCACCCTATTTCAAGTCTCCTAAGCCAACAGAGAGGCCCAAGCTCTTGCAGACTGCACCACTCCCCATCCATCTGTGCTGGGAACACAAATAGTGTTCTTTGATTTGTTAGCCCACCAAACTCGGTCGTAGGTACAGTAAACTTTGTTTTTCTTTTAAAAGATCTGGTTACCCGGCTTTGATTATAATAAGGAGTTGGCACACAACAGTTGGTTACGTGCGCGAGAAGCGCTCTCTACCACAGCCTAAGCTGTGGAGGTTTAGGTTTACAAAGGGTAATTACTCACTAGAGTCGGGCAACCAATAGAGATTTTAGAATATAGTAAACTTTGTGCCATTTTACAAAGGGTAATTTGCTCATCAAAATTGTAAAAGTATCTACTATACTCTTCACAGGAACTAATTATAGCATCACATACTAAAAATCATTAAAATCACCATGTAATTAGCTAGGAATTTAAATGGGTTTTGGAAGATAGTGCTCTCTAAAATGGAGAAACAAGTAGAATGAGAATCAAGCAATTTAACCATCAAAACAACGGTAAAGCAACAAAATCAAAGGAGTGGATGCTTCTTACTAACCTTAAAGGCAGAAGGTCATGCCCATGCTTCAAAATCCAAGAGCTTCATGGTGAAGAGAGGCCGCAACAATGGAGGGAGTGGGGAAAACACGCGCCTCCTGGATGGGTGTGCTCGGGATGGGAGAAAGGAGGGAGGAGAGGACACCAGCCTTTTGTACTCAATTTATCACTGTCGGAAGCCACAAACCGACAGTGATAGCACCACATCACACTGTCGGTTCCTAGCTAGAACCGGCAGTGATATGTCACCGTCCACTCACTACCGGTTCCAGCCACAAACCGGTAGTGATTTGGACTTTCACTGCCAGTTCTTGGCCACCCCAATCATTTTCTGATTTTGAAGCCCAGAACCGACATTGAAGTGGATTGTCGGTGAAACTCAAAAAAAGGAATCTCAGGTGCTTCAGCTTACCAAGGGACTCTAAGAACCTATCTGACTCTGCATGATCCACCAACAATAATGCACGTAGGCTAGGAAATCTGCTCATGGAAGAATCATTAGAGCTAGGCTCAAAACTCATCCTACAAGAGATAATGAAACTTCTTAACAACTTTTGGTTTTCTGGTATACTGCTCCGTTTGGGCAATATCACTGACTCTGACTCCAATTCAGATGATGACATAGAAAGTTGAAAGATGGCGTAATTTTGGTGACGAAACAAGGGAACTTAATTGACCGGGCCCAACTACTGATAATGCATCTTCTTTGGCCATGTATTGAGCAAAAAAGCGAACAACATCGTGCATCCTGCAGACTGATCCGTCTCTAACAAATTCATTAGGTTCAATAAGATTCCTTGTGATCAGATCCCTGTAATTATGCATCCCGACGTCTTCCACTTGTTTCTGTCCTACGATACTTATGCTCAGGAAGCGTTATAGACTTTTATTCATCAACTATGGACATAGTCGGTAGCTGTTTCTGATTTTTTTTTATTGATATAGATGAACTAAGTGTTAACGTGATGGATGCTGACGATTGGTAGGCTATGCCTCCATGTGATATTTTAGATATTCTAATTCTATTAACCAACTGCGAATGTCGGTAGGTACGACCTTTTTTTCTCGTGAATAATAAGATTTTACCCTATTTTATATATATATATATAATGGCAAGGGTGGGTATTTTTCTAGAAAAAATAGATCCAATGGTTATGGATGGTTAGAGTCTTTAGATTTGATGGCCAGATGTTTTTGATTAACGTGAGAATTTTCTAGTATTTATTTATTTTCCTAGCGTGTCTAGTAAGGATTAATGTGGAACCTCTATTGAGGCCTCTAATTAGTAATAGTAAGATAAGATAAGATGGATTGGAGGATTGGATGGCTGGGCTACCCTTGGTGGCCGAATTGAAGCCCTTTTTTGGATGATGTTTACTATCCTTTGGATCTACGATTATGGGCTGCACAAAGCACGGTTGATGTCCTAGTTAACAAAGTACTCCTATATATTCGAGCACACATTTTGATATTTAGTTGGATAGTTCCATGAACGTGGAGACTCATTCGACCACTAGATGGCCCTTCTATTTATTCCATTATTATGAGTAAAATGGCAGCAGCTCTCCGATCCACTGTTCCTTATTGTGCTAGGCACGCCGTTGGAGACTTTGTCCATCGGGGCTGCTGGCTCAATAATTACGGTGCATGCCTGCCTGGCCAGTTGGCTCAACAATTCCGGTGTCTGAATAATTATCATACTTTAAATACTACTCCCTTGTCCCTACATTACAAACTGTAAGTTATTTTGGTTTTTCTAGCCGGTGTCTGAATAATTTCCCGGGCTGGCTCAACAATTTCGGTGTCTCAATAATTTGCTAGAGCAGTGTACTTTAGATGGAGGCGCAATGGCAGCAGGTGTGCGTACGCTAGCAGATGCTACAGTTGTCATTATCAGGTGCAGTAGTCCTGGCTCATCAGATGCTACAGAGTAGTGCTACAGTTGGATTGATCCATCGGATAAACGACGGCGACTTAGCCTAACAGTCTTGTTCGTCCCCATTAGACAAGCTTTATTTTCCCGACCAACGGCGCAGTTGCAGGTGGTGTTGGCTTTCTGCTATGCTCTGTTACGGTTTCCTTCCATTTAGAGCTGAGGATGTGTTGGTGCAGGCTACGAAGCAGAGGATTGACATACAGTTCTTGCACGCTACAAAGCAAAGGACTGACATACAGTTCTAGGAAAAGCAGAGGACAACCTTGGTTACAGAACGTTTCGTTCATCACCACATGTCCGTTCATTATAACAATCCAAGGCGGAACCTTAGTTAATTTACAAATATGCGAGCAAAAGAATATGAAAACACTAGTGCCAAAGTTTTAAGACAAGGATTCTATTCAGCACTCTGCTTCACAATATTATAATTCCAAGGGTCGTCCAGCCCATGGCAATCTGTATAGAGTCCTGCGTGTCTTTTTTTCCTAAGGGACGGCAAACGTTTAGCCATAATTTTTATTACGCAAAGAAAAAGAAAAACAAGTGCTTGTCCAGTTTTTTGAATGAAAACCGGGCCCACAAACCGCATAACTGAGTAGAGTGCGCCACTCACCCATACAACTAGATTTTTGGCCGAAGCAAGAGCAAGCAGATAGTACCAAACTGATGGCATATCGATTACCAGGATAAATAAAGTTTACTTTAGAATACGAACTAAGCGAGCCCTGCCAAATGGGGGCCAAAGTTTGTCCATCTTTAAAAGCCTCTTGCTCTTAGTGACCCATGTAGCTGGAAGCATCATGTGTTGCCTAAGATGATTTATAATTGTGTACAAGAAAAAGGTAAAGTTCGTCCATCAACAGAAATTTAGGAGACAATAAATATACAAACGTGACTTGAAGAGGGAGAAGATGAACAGAGGACACAGATATTATAAGACAATTGACTGTTAACAACTGTGGATGCCTTCTCGTTAGATGAGGAGGCTGTTTCAACACTTCGTTCAAACACCATATTATTTGACGCCCCGCAGTGCCTGTGCCTGTGTATGGTCGGATGAATGATTCTCCTCCCTGCTAATCACCCATATAATTGACGTACGTATAAGTGATCGATGCATGGAGATTAGTGTGGTTATGTAACGAATTGAGGTACAAGCAACAATTAATATCTGAATCCACTTTCGGCTAGTGAAAGGGTGCAAATTAAATTACCTGGACGCATTAGATGTCTTCGATGCAGCTGTCAGTCCTTAGCATGATCTGAATGTTCATCCGAATCTGTATCTGAATCTTCAATCAATTGATACTGCGCTTTCGAATATGGCTGATCTTGTTCCATTCAGAACTACCTGGTGATGAGGAGGATTCGTGTAGTTTCTTGTTGCAATACAACTCGAGATACCTTGGGTTTACAGCTCGTAGGTAGTCTGGTAGCGTGTCCATGGTGGTGTCCTCCAGCACGAGGCTGTCAAGTGCTGCGACACCTTCTAGAACCTCCAGCTTTGGGCCGCGAACGATCCTAATCTTCTGCATCATGGAGAGGCCGCTGATCTTCTTCAGCTCAGGGCAGTCAAACACGTCAAGTTTCACAACTGAAGGGATGTTCTCCACATGTGTCATGTTGGTGAGCTCGTAAAGGTATAGTTCTCTAAGAGTATGCCTCTTGGTGCTGGCGAGGCTTGCTGGAAGACAGCTCAACTTGCAGTTGTCGATTTGGAGTTTCTCAAGACAAGGCATGGCTATGGCAGTTTCCACATCCATATGCTCCTCACAGTCATTCCGTTGCAATGCCCAAATACAGCACCAAAAACAATGATAAATACTATATAGGTGAATGCCCAAGCATTGCAATGGTGAAACTTGACGTGTTATCCTTAACTCAAACAGTTGTATATTTTTTCCTTTTTTATCTTAGTTGGATTGCTGAAAACGATGTAGTAAGGCCCAGGCTGCGCACAGTAATGCAAAAGGCTGGAAAGTATTTCCATTTTGTACAAAAAAAAATCTTTTATCATTGTTTTTGGTGAACCAATGTGTTGGTTTGATAGTAATTTTAAATACTATATAGGTGAATGCCCAAGCATTGCAATGGTGGTGAAACTGAATGTCTCAAGACAGGCATGGCTATGGCAGTTTCCCACTCACGTAGTCCATCATCAGTTTAGGAAACGGTGCAGATGTACTAGCAGTGGAACCTCCAGCTGCCACGGAGGATGACGCTTGGAATTGGGGGCCAATACGCTTGATGACTGGCGCATCTGTGATGGTCAGTCCTTCTAGACTTGGGAGGCAACAAAGACCATCAGGGAGTTGGGTGCAGCAAGGCAGGTTCTCCATCATCAAATACCTTAGGCTCTTAAAGCCTACTGAGGCAGGAGCACACATCCAGTTCGGTAGCTGGCGACCAATGTATCCTCCTATCACTCTGTTGTTGCTGCTGCCCTGCCTCAGCACCACATTTCATGTGAACTGGTACTTCTTCTTTTATCTGGTGGTTGAATAAGTCCTTCACCGATCCACATTTCAGTAACTATGACTTGTAAGATTGCTACACCTTTAGGGAACATCGAGCAGTACAGAAAGCACTACTTTAATTGGGGAGACAAATCCTCGTAGCTCAAGTACAGCCGGTTGTCGAGTTCTGGAGGCAGTCCGGTCAGTGACCAAGCTGGCTTGTTCAAAACAGATTTCCACTCATGCTCACTTGGGTATCTTGTGCTCAAGAGACCTCCAATCACTTTAATTGCAAGTGGTAAGCCATCACAATTTTCAAGAATTTCCATCCCAATAGTTTTCAGTTGATCAATTCCATCTACCTGCCAACATTTAATTTAAAGCTTCTTAATTATTTCTAACAACTATCGGGTTGCTTATGTACTTCTCTAAGCAAATAAGCTTCTTCTGTAAAACAATGAAGTGTAGGTTGGCCAACGTATTGGAAGTGTACCGTCCTTTATTAGAAAATAAGCACAAGACTATGCTTGGAAAGGGCCGATTTCAAATGGAATCCGCATGAATGGGCACAAAATCCCATAAGACTAATATATGGAATCCGTGCATTGCAATTGGGCTTTAAATGTTCTCATTTGGGAAACAGGACTATACTACAGAAAGTTTTGTAGTGGCTTTCCTTGCAAAAAAAAAGTTTTGTTGTGGCTACAGGAATCGGACTTTAAATGGTCTCTTTGCGTTTTAAATTTGTTGTGTGGCAGCAACGTGGTATTATTAGCTATAGGACGACTAGGATAGTCGAAAGTCGAAATCTGGGCATTATCTACTAGGACGCACTTGATGCATTAAAATATTCATTTATATGCAAACTTAGGGTCTTCGTTTTGGTTTATAAGAAATGGTAGAATGAGTAATTTAGTTGTAAATTTTGGACTACTTTACATTATGGTTTGTAATGGCATAGGTAGATAATTTAGACAAACATTATATTCAGAGGTTACTTATTGACGAAATCCAAACATAGAGATATGTTAAGCCTCAGGATCAAGGTTTCCCGAACGAGAGATCCCATGACCGACCCCTCCCGGATCGCTTAGGGGCTACACCCATCGGGTGTGCTCACGCAGACCCTCCGGCTAAGGCATTGGGCCGAGCCCGAGCACGTCCGGCGCCTCTGCTTGGGACTCGGGGGCTCACCCGAGCCCCAGGCTCCCGATTGAAGGGAGCATGGACCCGATCCTTATCTTCTTCCCGGCTTTCGGTTCTAGCAAAGGCCCGGGCTCGAGGCAAACCCCCTAAGCCACCAAGGCTCGGGGGCTCCCCGGCACTGCCCCGCGGGCGCGGCGCTGTCAACCGCTCCTCCAAAAGGGTCACGCACTGGGTGTGACGCAAGAAGCCAAACTCCTCCGCTAGCCTCAGGGGCTCCAGGGCTTCCGAGCTCGTGCGTCAGCCCCCCAAGCCGGCTGTCTTTGCCACAAAGAAGCCTCCAGACGGCGCACCTGGTGAAGACCGGTCCAAGCCGACACAGCCTGACATTCAGCGTGTCAGAATAGAGTAGCCGGACGATGCCCAAGGCTTCTTTGGCTCCATGACATCGCCATGGTCCACATGACGCCACGGCAAGACCCTCATAGACTCTAGCGCATTTAGACCATAGGCTAAACTCTCACAAACCTTCATGTACCTGACCTACCTTGGTATGTAAGGGGAGGTCGGATCCTAAGACGGGAGAGGACGATTCCAGTGGGCGATTCCAAAACACAATTCTAGATGATCCAGAAACAGATCGTTGGACTCCTCAGCAAACTAGTTTGTGCTCTGCACCAAGAGCAAATCCACCCAGAGAGGGGCACCAAGAGCTCCTTCCCCTTCCTCCGATCGTCTTCCTCCTCTTCGGCGAGGGGGAAGGCTCCACCGGCGACGAGGCTTTCCTAGGATTAGCACCGAGCGATCCCCTACAAATCTCTCTTTCTTACACTCTGTTGTAACCCCTAGATTTTGGGTACTCTTGAGTATAAGGATCATCAACTACCAGACGTCGGGACCCGAGTGCCCGAACCAGGATAAATCGTTGCGTCCCCTCTGTTGATTCTCATGTTCTTGAGTCCACCCAAGACACTGGAGACATGTACTCTGACACTAATACGAACAACAATGCTTGTCGCGGTTCTGATCCCATGACAGCTGGCGCTCTAGGTAGGGAAGAACGTCAAGTGTGATTCGTGCTCTATAGTGGCTGGAGCCACCCGCCTCATCGCTGGAGCAAGGGGCGCCGCCCTAGACGGTGGCGTCCGCTTCCCCAGCGAGTTCTCCGTCACGGCCAGCGCCTTCGTTCCGGGCTAGGTCCTTAACTTTGGGAGCCTGGCCAACGTCGCCGACCGCAATAGCGAGCTCCGCCCACTAAAGGAGGCTCCGTCCGCTCAAGTGTAATTTGACCATGGTTCTTCTATATGACCAGGACACCGAGATTGACCAACATATTGAAAGTGTGCCATACTGAAAAGATTTGCGGTAGGGCACTCTTCAATGGTGGTCTTTGCTAAGGGCACTGCTCACTGTTGTCTTGGCTACAAAGTACTTTGTAATGCTGGTAATTGGTTCTTAGACAATGTAGCTATTAAAATAATATTTCTAAGGACTACTTTGGAGAGAGAAGTTAAAAGTGACCAAAATGCACCTGACTATTATAATACAAACCTTTAATAGTTATCCAAAAATTCATAATTGCATATAAAGTTGGATGAAGACGAACGTTATATCAAAATTGAAGTGCTTAGTGAGATCTATAATTTTGTTGTTGACAAGTTTTGGATTGAAAATTATTTATAGTATGAAATCAATTTCCAAAATGTTAAATTCAAAGTTAGAATATCTTAAGTCATTTAGAATGTTGAATATTCATTTTATTATTTTATATTTTTAAATTTGAAATTTAACATTTTTAAAACATCTCTTCCAATGTTCGAAGTAATTTGAAATTCCTAAATTTTAGAAGAGACTCTATATTACTTCAGATAAAAAATTATCATCTACAAAATTTAGATCCTACTAATAACTACTAATTTTGTATATACCATGTCAATATATGAGATCATTTATATTTATAGATTTTGTCAAAATTTGATAATTTCAAAGGAAGTTTTGGCAACCTAAATTGTTTGAAACAAAGAATTTGTCAATTACAAAGGTATAGATATTATTGAGCTCTACAATTTTGATTATATTTAAAGTTATGTTCATACGACTTCATATGCAAAAGTTATGAATTTTTTAGATAACTATTAATTGTTGCACTATAATAGTCAGGGGTATTTTGGTCACTATTAACTTCCACTATAATTGATGTTACATTTCAAATACCATCCAATTTCAAATAGCTAGATTTCATACGGAGCTAGCCATGCACTAAATCTTTCATTGGAGTGAATATATAATAGCTAACTTGATCCTAGTGTTTTGTTGTTACATTCGATTATTTCTTCTAGGTCATAGTTTTACTGGTCTCCTTTTGCTACTCTCATAAGCTGGTGTTGCTAGCACGAATGCTTAGATTTAACGGAACTCCGATCCATATGCTTTGTATCAAAATCAAGTATATAGCCTAGTTGTATAAAGTATGGATGGACAACTAACCTGATCAGGCTGCAGCTGCTTCTTGAGCAAAGACCAAGCATCATCATTCTCCTGAGGCTTGACACGGTGTTGGTGCAGGGAGGCTTGCATCTGTTGGGGTAGGTGTGCAGATCTTGTGGTGACAAGGACCCTGCTTCCAGGTTGTTTCTTGCTAGCATGTCTGACTGGGACACTAAGCACGTCGTTCCACACTTTCTGGCTCCACACATCATCCGTCACCAGCAAAAACCTTCCACTGGACATGGTGTGGAATAGGGTCTCCATCAGAGTGTTTTTGTCCTTCTCAGCACCATAGTCGCCTCCAGCATGCTTGATTGCTGTCCTCAGTAGCTCAACCTCGTCAAACTGTTGAGTGATGCTTAGCCATATCATCTTCGTCTTGAAGCGCTCTTGGATGGTTGCATCATTGAAGATCTTCTGAGCAAGAGTAGTCTTTCCCACGCCACCAACACCAATTATAGACACGACTTTGATGTTGTGATTATCATCACTTGAGGTTAACAAGTGAATGAGCTCCCGTGTATCCCTCTCTATCTGTTCCCCAACTATGGCTGACTCGTCGACCTGTGAACTTGTCCTATAGCAGGATAACTCAGTAGCAGTTAGCTTCCTTGGCTCCAGGCCGGAACCGAGGCCTATATTGAACTTGTACT